CAGTTCGTATCTGAAGCAGATTCTTCAGAAGTCGTTTCACAATCTTTGGTAAGTGTTACCATTGCGGATTTCACGTCTGTCTGCATGGGCAATAAATGAACGAGATTCTGGTGACAACGGGTTTAGGGTTCAGTTCTTCTTATAATGCAAATGATAGATTGTTCACTTTTTTTTCCAGTAGCACGTATGTTGCAGTTGTTGTCAGTAAATGATTCAGTACAAAATTCGTTTCTGCTCTGGATACATGTTTTCCTTCAACAACTCTTTCGTGAAATACTCATCACATTTCTTCAGAGTTCTTTGATTCTTTCAAGCATAAAAGTAATTTTCCAAAATCTATTTTTATGTGTATTTGAACAAAGAGAAAAGCTTCAATGATAAAAGTCTTAAATTGTTATGACTCCTTGGTATTATGCGAATCAAGTGTTCAAAAATATCAGCATGGTTAAGAATGTAGCTCTAGTTCTTCATTCTTGAACAAACATCAAACTATGAAGACCTCTTACAGTGGTCATTGCTTTTTAAGTGACTGGACCATCGTGACTTATGAAATTAGACTCTCGCTTTTATTACAAATTATAGGTGATGGAATGACAAACGTCTGTAATCGAAATGGAACCAAGAAGTTATTGTCACTGACCACTCGTTTTATTAAATTATTACACGACCGCCGGGTTTTGTCCAAAGTGTTGGGGACAAACACGTTTAGATACGAACAACCAGCGGTAGTAATTAAGCTCCATTCAGAGGATTGATAGAAAAAGTGATAAGTTATCGCCCTGATTTGTAATATACCCTCTTACAAAATGCTTTGATCAAGACTTGCAGATTTGTATCGCGAACGTGGCTCGGGGCAATAAGGTTAACGAGCCACTAATTGGTGCTGTCCATCGAGTGTGTCATCGCTGGACACTCTGACTCTTGTACAGGCGGGGCTTTCGATGAAGTTAATAGACTCCCGCGAAAATGTCGTCTACTGTCCTTATTCCTTTGTCAGTCAATCCCAAAGAATTAAATATCTGTAATATAATCATTTGCTCTCGGACATATTGTGGCAAAGTGTTATTTATTTTATAACCCTTGATCTTTTCATTATAAAACTATCAATACTTTATTGTTTGTGTTTTTTATAAAAGCCAAATCCACATAATTTCTCGTAGATTACGGAAACAAAACTGCTGGGACATCTACGGTAATTTCAAAAGTCCTCATGTTCTATGCCCAGAAGATGGAAGTCTGCCGTGCACGGAATATAGAATTTGAAAGCAATAACGCGATCGATGACCAAGAAGGAAAAGTCTGTGTCTGAATGATAAGTACCTGATTGTCAATTAAGATTAAAATGTTGTTCTCAATGGAATCAATTATTATAATTAATCTTTAAAAGCAGATGTCGTGTGCGACCTTTCTTTTTAATGGCAACATTTATTTTAGTTTCAAGCACGTGCCTGAAGCATCTCGACGAATTCATATTCTTTAGACACTGCTATGATCAAAAGGCAATGACGATGGACAACTGCACACGAGTTTAATATGTTTACAGTTTTTACAGAAGTATATTATGGCATCGCAGATATAAAAAAAAATCAACATTATTATCAGCAGCCATAAACAAATCTGCGAAATTATACAAGAACAAGAAATTTGCATAAAGTTGTTACTGATAATAAAAGGGGACGAGGGTAAAATAAAAATGGCTAATATTGTACGATTGTTACTTTCTTTACTTAACGTTGGTATGATAACTGAGTAAGGAAAAAATAGCAGTTAACCAGCTGTACGCATAGTTTATAAAGGCGGTTTTCTTTTCCTGGATATTATGGGCTTATCCCGGTATGTATGTATGTATGTATGTATGTATGTATGTATGTATGTATGTATGTATGTATGTATGTATGTATGTATGTATGTATGTATGTATGTATGTATGTATGTATGTATGTATGTATGTATGTATGTATGTATGTATGTATGTATGTATGTATGTATGTATGTATGTATGTATGTATGTATGTATGTATGTATGCATGCATGCATGTATGTACGTGTGTGTATGTATGTATTTACGTACGCACGCACGTATGTATGTCGGATTTGTTTTAAAGTATTTCTTCGAACAAAAGATAGTCTATGTGTGTAAGAAGATATAGTGCAAAGGTATGAAACTGAAATATTTGATCATTGGAAAATATTTTGCACGTTTCTTTAAGAGTGATAAGAATTTTCTTTGCTTGTTCTTTTGATCAATTTACTTGCTCGTGACATGTATGTTTTAAATATGTAAGTCTGGTCTTAAGACATGTTAAACGCATTCATGTTGCTAAGTCTCATTTTAAAAGATGTTATGTACATTTATATTGATATCTGTATTGTAAATATTCATAATCATTGGTCAATTAACTTTTTCAAGAAAATCATTCTTGTTACTAATTCAAATTGACAATATTTGCTATACTATACATATGACAACATTTAATTTTCATACGTATGACAACATTTATTTTTATATACATATGAAAACATTGACATTTTATACATACTACAACCTGCACTTTATTATACGTATGACAAGATTTGCATTATCATCATATGAAAACATTTGCCACTACTATACATATCAAAACATTTACTTTACTGTACAGGTCAAAATATTTACTTTACTATACATATCAAAACATTTACTTTGCTATAAATGTCAAAACATTTACTTTACTGTGCAAGTCAAAACATTACTGTACATGTCAAATCATTTACTTACTGTAAATATCAAAACATTTGCTTTACTATACATGTCAAAAATTTACTTTGCTGTACATGTCAAACATTTACTTTTCTGTACATGTCAAAACCTTTACTTACTGTACATATCAAAACATTTACTTTACTATACATGTCAAAACATATACTTTACTATACATGTCAAAACATTTACTTTACTATACATGTCAAAACATTTACTTTACTATACATGTCAAAACATTTACTTTACAGTACATGTTAAAACACTTTCTTTATTATACATTTTAAAACATTTTCTTTGCTGTACATGTTAAAACACTTTCTTTATTATACATGTTAAAACATAGGACTAGTTTATTTACTTATGACCGTTTATATGCTGATGCATTATCATACTTGAGTGTTTATAGGGTTTTCATCATTACTCTTCTAGAACACGAACCCCTCCCCTCAACACTACTGGAGATTAAAACATTAATTGAATTGAAATATTTCAAAATTACAAGAAGGAAATTAAAAACTATGAATGAGTTACACCATAAATATGTATAAGTTAATTCCTATTTCTAATATGTACGTTCTATTCATTCCTCAACATGCAATAATGTACTTGTAACTCGATCTCTTTATCCCATTCTTGATTCGCAATTTTATGTTGTCGTTACTATCCAGTTTAACAATTATTTTAAAGATTCTTTATCTATTCCGTGCTCTATGAATTAGGAATTAAGAAGTTAGATAACTAATCAAAATCTGGCCTTTTAGTATAAATAATAAGGGCTTCCAACAATTTCATTAGCATCAATTAAAAGGGCTTTCAATTAAATAATGAAAACCTGTATCCCAGTTATATTTGCGTTATGTTTTAGATCTCCCTCGCAAACGCGCACAAAAACATGAGAGAGAGAGAGAGAGAGAGAGAGAGAGAGAGAGAGAGAGAGAGAGAGAGAGAGAGAGAGAGAGAGAGAGAGAGAGAGAGAGAGAGAGAGAGAGAGAGCATTTACCCACTAATAGTGGTGCTATGCCAATGAACTTTCTTTAAATTTATAATGTATACATGCCATCAGTAACATAGGGCAAATACAGTCTATATTTTTCAAAATAATTTAAAGTTATTATCTAAGTCTTATAATATGCACAACACAGACTCATTGTGACTAACGGATGTAGGCGTGGAAGCGTGTCAACGGAATAAAGCATGCCATCACTTGATGACGTAAGATGACAGTTCATAGTAGATAACCTTTAGAGATGTCACTGCGTGCAATAAAATTGGTTGAAATAATACGTTCAACTAATAGTGGCAGTATTTACATTAGTTTAATTTCTACCGAAAATGCGTGAAGAAAAGCAAGTTCTTTCACTAAACATAGTGAAATTGCTTCCTAATTGTGGGGATAAGGGTTCAGAAGATCATTTTAAAAATTCCAACCATGTAAAACACTGGTGGATTCCTGCAATTGTTTGTCAATCATACACCAATTCAGAATTTAGATAGATAGATAGATAGATAGATAGATAGATAGATAGATAGATAGATAGATAGATAGATAGATAGATAGATAGATAGAAAGAGAGAGAGAGAGAGAGAGAGAGAGAGAGAGAGAGAGAGAGAGAGAGAGAGAGACAGACAGACAGACAGACAGACAGACAGATAGATAGATAGATAGATAGATAGATAGATAGATAGATAGATAGATAGATAGATAGATAGATAGATAGATAGATAAGTAATTTTGAATATAAATAGACATTAAAACACATGTAATCTATTAATTTGTAATCTATATCGTCCAATGAAGAATATGATCAGATAAAGATTCAACAAGCATGTGAGAAATATTTAATAGAAAGCAACAAACTATCGTCATATCCGATTTCCGAATTTGAACGATGGCACTTATTTGGAAAGTTTGAGCGAAATGGAAGTAAAAATTAAACAATTATCTCGTGATGTAATGAAGTAAGATTTTTAATGGGAATAAGCATTTTAATGAAAAGATAGGTGTGTTTGTGTGTGTGTGTGTGTGATTTAGATTTTTAAAGTAGCTTTAAAAATGTTTTAGTCATATTGGTACAATGTCTGCAGTGTGACAGATTATAGTGATGTCTAGCACTAGGATATCATGCCGCAGACATGTAACATAATATCCCACCCAGTCACATTATCCTGACATCAGCCCATCCAGTCCTAACATTAACTTTTTAATGCTGAGTGCCAAGCAAGGCAGCTGTTTGTACCATTTTGTAATGTCTTTGGTTTGACTTGGATGGGGATCGAACCCGCGAACTCCCGCATCTGAGGCGGAGTCTCTAACCACTAGGCCACTGAAATATGTACCGAAATATTTTAATCTTCAATAATCTTTATTTTTCAGTTTTAACCGACGTTTGTTTAACTTGCCGTGATGACTGATATCCTTGTAAGGAAACAAATCCCCACAAAATTTTTTATACTGTTTAGGACATGTATCCCTAAAAAAGATGTGTTCCAAAAACAATACCTGAAATAGACGAGACACCTATTATTAGTAGAATATTTAGCAAAAAAATTAGTTTTCTTTCCCAGAGAATTACATTTAATATTTCCATGCATTATGTACGAAGATTTTTCAAAATATCAGTAGTCTTAAAGGTTTAGAAAGATTTTGTTTTGATAGGCCAGACGACATTTTGGGACCTTCTATACACACATAATACACAATTTCAATAGGATATAAGCATATTGGTTGCTTTTATTTTTAAATTATATTATATTGCACGAAGTTTGGAAGCCAATATGATGCAGTGAAATATGGGGAAATGTTGAATTAATATAGAAATAGTATAATATTACTGAACAAATGGAAAAATAAAATGAGTATTTAAGAAAGTAAAGCAAACAACATTGGAAAGTGTCGTGCAGAAATGGATTCTAAACTGCTTACCATAACAAACAAAGATGCAACAATCATACATTCTAAATGTGTAGTACAAAAGCATGCATATCTTAAAACACATTGGAAAATAGTATTACAGACAGAAGCATTTGCAGCATAATTCAGAATAGCACGTCAACTGTCAAAAAGTTTTCATAACAGCATGCCTACCGTCAAAATGTTTTCACAATAGCCTGTCAACCGTCAAAAAGTTTTTACCAAAGCATGTCCACTGTCAAATAGTTTTCAGAATACTATGTCTACCGTCAAATAGTTTTCATATTACTATGTCTACCGTCAAATAGTTTTCATAATAGTATGTCTACCGTCAAATAGTTTTCGTAATATTATGTCTAACGTCAAAGTTTTCACAATAGCCTGTCAACCGTAAAATAGTTTTCATAATAGTATGTCAACCGTTAAATAGTTTTCATAAAAGCATGTCTACCGTCAAATACTTTTCACAAAAGCATGCCAACAATGAAAGTTTTATAATGGCATGTTCACCATCAAATAGTTTCACAAAATCATGTCAATCGTGAAAGTTTTCATAATAGCATGTTTACTCTCAAATATTTTATATTGTATGTCTATTGTCAATAAGTTTTCATAATAACATGTCTACTGTTGAATAGTTTCGTAATAGCGTGTCTATCGTCAAATAGTTTTAATAATGTCAAGTTAAACATCAGATAATTTTCCTAATATCATTTCTACTGTCATACAGTTTTCATAATATCATATATACCGTCAAAATAGTTTTCCTACTAGCATGTCTACTATCTAACAGTTTTCATAATTGCATGTCAACCATTCTCTACTGTTAAATTTGTTTCATAAATAGAATGTGTATTGTCAACCATCAAAAAGTTTTCATAATAGTGTGTTTACCATCAGATAAATTATATAATAGCATATCTACCGTCCTACAGTTTGCATAATAGCATTTCAAGTCATATAGTTTTCAAAATAGCATGTCCATTGTGAAATAGTTTTCATAATAGCATGTGTGCTGGCAAATAGTTTTCTGGCCAAGCAGGAAAAATGATAGTCATGCAATTCAAAGGCAAACTTTGTTAAGAGTTAAAAAAAATTTAAAATCATTATCTATATTTTGCATCGTGTAACACTTGCAAATATTTCCGTATATGTGCAATATGAATTTAACGAATTATATCAATAATCTTGTTAATGAAATGAAATTGTCCGTAAAATAAATTCCTGTTAGAAAAAAATAATATATAGTTCTTTGTTAAGTAAGTATAAATACTAAACAGCGACGCTTACTCTTTATTGTAAACAAATAAAACTATACACTATGATATATATTAAATCTAAATTCATATGCATTATGTCTGACAGTTATCCGCACACATTTTGGAAAGTCACATTAACACAGGAATGGGGGGTTAATTAAAACGAAGGCACAAACAAATGAATGAGATTTTCTTACTGTGTGATATCAAGTTTGCAAATGGACGGTATTTTCTTACTGTGATACTAATTTGAAAATGAATGGTATTTTCTTACTGTGCGATACTAATTTTGAAAATGCATGAGATTTTCTTACTGTGTGATACTAATTTTGAAAATGAATGGTATTTTCTTACTGTGTGATACTAAATTTGAAAATGAATGGTATTTTCTTACTGTGTGATACTAATTTTGAAAATAAATGGTATTTTCTTACTGTGTGATACTAATTTTGAAAATGCATGAGATTTTCTTACTGTGTGATACTAATTTGAAAATGAATGGTATTTTCTTACTGTGTGATACTAATTTTGAAAATGAATGGTATTTTCTTACTGTGTGATACTAATTTTGAAAATGAATGGGATTTTCTTACTATGTAATACTAATTTTGAAAATAAATGGTATTTTTTTACAGTGTGATACTAATTTTGAAAATGAATGGTATTTTCTTACTCTGTGATGCTAATTTTGAAAATGAATGAGATTGTCTTACTGTGTGATAGTAATTTTGAAAATGAATGAGATTGTCTTACTGTGTGATACTAATTTTGAAAATGAATGGTATTTTCTTACTGTGTGATACTAATTTTGAAAATGAATGAGATTGTCTTACTGTGTGATAGTAATTTTGAAAATGAATGAGATTGTTTTACTGTGTGATGCTAATTTTGAAAATGAATGGTATTTTCTTACTGTGTGATACTAATTTTGAAAATGAATGGTATTTTCTAACAGTGTGATACTAATTTTGAAAATGAATGAGATTGTCTTACTGTGTGATGCTAATTTTCTAAATGAATGAGATTGTCTTACTGTGTGATAGTAATTTTGAAAATGAATGAGATTGTCTTACTGTGTGATGCTAATTTTGAAAATGAATGGTATTTTCTTACTGTGTGATACTAATTTTGAAAATGAATGGTATTTTCTTACAGTGTGATACTAATTTTGAAAATGAATGGTATTTTCTTACTGTGTGATACTAATTTTGAAAATGAATGGTATTTTCTTACTGTTTGATACTAATTTGAAAATGAATGAGATTTTTTTACTGTATGATACTAATTTGAAAATAAATGGTATTTTTTTACAGTGTGATACTAATTTTGAAAATGAATGGTATTTTCTTACTGTGTGATACTAAATTTGAAAATGAATGGTATTTTCTTACTGTGTGATACTAAATTTGAAAATGAATGAGATTTTCTTACTGTTTGATACTAAGTTTGCAAATGAATGGTATTTTCTTACTGTGTGATACTAATATTGAAAATGAATGGTATTTTCTTACTGTGTGATACTAATTTTGAAAATGAATGAGATTTTCTTACTGTGTGATACTAATTTTGAAAATGAATGGTATTTTCTTACTGTGTGATACTAATTTTGAAAATGAATGGTATTTTCTTACTGTGTGATACTAATTTTGAAAATGAATGGTATTTTCTTACTGTGTGATACTAATTTGAAAATAAATGGTATTTTTTTTACAGTGTGATACTAATTTTGAAAATGAATGGTATTTTCTTACAGTGTGATACTAATTTTGAAAATGAATGGTTTTTTCTTACTGTGTGATACTAATTTGAAAATGAATGAGATTTTTTTTACTGTGTGATACTAATTTGAAAATAAATGGTATTTTTTTACAGTGTGATACTAATTTTGAAAATGAATGGTATTTTCTTACAGTGTGATACTAATTTTGAAAATGAATTGTATTTTCTTACAGTGTGATACTAATTTTGAACATGAATGGGATTTTCTTACTGTGTGATACTAAATTTGAAAATGAATGGTATTTTCTTACTGTGTGATACTAAATTTGAAAATGAATGAGATTTTCTTACTGTTTGATACTAATTTTGCAAATGAATGGTATTTTCTTACTGTGTGATACTAATATTGAAAATGAATGGTATTTTCTTACTGTGTGATACTAATTTTGAAAATGAATAGTATTTTCTTACTGTGTGATACTAATATTGAAAATGAATGAGATTTTCTTACTGTGTGATACTAATTTTGAAAATGAATGGTATTTTCTTACTGTGTGATACTAATTTTGAAAATGAATGGTATTTTCTTACTGTGTGATACTAATTTTGAAAATGAATGGTATTTTCTTACTGTGTGATACTAATATTGAAAATGAATGAGATTTTCTTACTGTGTGATACTAATTTTGAAAATGAATGGTATTTTCTTACTGTGTGATACTAATTTTGAAAATGAATGGTATTTTCTTACTGTGTGATACTAATATTGAAAATGAATGAGATTTTCTTACTGTGTGACACTAATTTTGAAAATGAATGGTATTTTCTTACTGTGTGATACTAATTTTGAAAATGAATGGTATTTTCTTACTGTGTGATACTAATTTGAAAATGAATGGTATTTTCTTACTGTGTGATACTAATTTGAAAATGAATGGTATTTTCTTACTGTGTGATACTAATTTTGAAAATGAATGGTATTTTCTTACTGTTTGATACTAATTTTGAAAATGAATGGTATTTTCTTACTGTGGGATACCAATTTGAAAAAGTGAAATGGAAGCTTATCCCGATGATTATGATGCATATTTTATTGCTAAGTTAACACAATTTGTCTTCAATAATACAGTCATTTCTACTTCTAGATATTATCAGGGACTAATTTCCGAGTCAAAACTTAATATATAACGTTAAGTGTCGAATTCAGCGTGCAGTCTTTCTTATAGAAAATTTCTTTTAAAGGTACCAAGGAACAGATTCAGGATAAGTGTGATTTCCCACAGTTTACCTATAAAACTACATTAAAAAACGATGCATACTCCTGATAATCACTCAAAGGTTTATCAGTTGTCTAAATCAGCATCGCTTTCAATGCCTACACTATCTATTTACCGATTTCTATTTGTAAGTGGTCATATCTATTTGTTATTGACTGTCAG